GGGTCTCCAGTACTACACGCCATACTGGCCCCAGAACCCTGTGTGCGCAGACCTGGCCACTCAAACTGGGCATGGTGGTGCATGCCTGTAATCCCAGTGCCAGGGAGGATGAGACAGGAGAATCATTATGAGTCCAAGCTGAATAGTGAGACCCTGTACCAAATAAATAAAAAGATTTTTTTTAAAGAAAAAAAAGAGAAAGAAAAGAAAACTAAGGTAGAAAAATTATCTATGTGTATTTATTTGTGTATGCATAAAAACCTGTAAGGGAAGAAAAGACTGAAGGGAATGGGAATATAGTGGGGTGAAATTTCATACAGCATTTTAATTTTTTGAACAAATTTATACCTAATTCTTGAACAAAGACTAGATGGCATGAAACTGAATACAGCCAAGTATAGAAACATGAGAAAAACTGAACAAATGAACCATTTTATCTATCTAATACATGGCAAAGAATAATACATTGAGGATAAGGTGTAGAGGACTACCACGTTGCTCTCCCCTAGACCCAAGTGTGATTGTGTTTACTTATGAGCAGTATAGACTATATAGAGGTGACTTCCCTAAATTGGCTTTCAGTTTAGTGAGTCTGGCTGAGGTTGTACACATTATCTTCATGAAAGCATGTTGCTGATAATGGACTAATGTAACTTATTATCAACTATAATGTGACTATTATTAAATAGTACCATAATATATAGTAGTACTATATATAGTATATACAGTAGTAGTACCATATATAGTGTATATATTGTAGTACTATAACTCTTGTCTACTATATAGTTATTATATAACTATAGTATCAACTATCAACAGACAGATGAACTGTGATACCACAGGGTTAAGGTAAGAGACATGTCTCTGCTGAAGCCTGCGACTCTAGGGAAAAGTTCCTTCCAGAATTGGCTACAAAGCAGGTTGTTAACTATAATGTAAATCTAGCTGCTCCTGTCCCTTTGACAAGAAAGCTTTGTCCCCTCTATTACAAACCTTGCCAGCCTCGCCACCTTTCTAGCACATCCAGTAACAATCCCTTCACCATTTTCCTCAATGAATACCAAGGTTCTGGATAGCTTGTGGCCTTGTGCTCTTAAGACAGTAACTGGTTGTCCCAGATCCCTGCTATGCTCCTGCTCTATTTTTGTCTCTTGCTCTTTCTTTCCTTTCCTATTGTGTACCATAACCTAGGCAGGAGACTGGAACATACTTCAGGGGTCTCCAATAATAAGGTAAAAAAGATAAATACGTGCAACCAGGCTGACAGCTGTAAGAAGTGTAAGTTTCAGAAATAATTTTGCCAACAAGAGTTAATTTTTTTGCCACTAAACTAGGCGTCATGGTGAGTGCCTATAATTTCAACACTATGGGAGATTAAGGCAGGAAGTTTAAACCCAGTCTTCATAATACAGTGACACCTTGTCTTAAAGTGAAAAATGCAAAATGGCTGGGGATGTAGCTCACTGTGTAAGCCCTAGGTTTATTTCCAGTGTGGGGCAAGGGTAGGGGAGAATTCCACTGAAAGGGAAGAAGTTTTAATAAGATATATTTTGTTCATTGCCTTATGCAAGTTATTATACATACAACAAACTCCACTCCATCAAGCTTACAGTTATAGTACCTGCTTTTGATTCAAAAGAATGAGCTGACTCTTTCTGAAGAGGTTTTTTTGAATTGCTAGGTGTCTCTGCAAGATCATTCGTGAAGCATGCTTCATAAAAGAAATAAAAAATAAAACTATTAATTTCATTAATGTTGACAGCAACATTTCAGTGTTCAAAAATTGCACGTGGACTGGCAAAAAATACTGGAATGGCAACACCTTTTGTATCAGTAAGTAAAGTCACAATATATTAAGTCACTGAAATAAAGGCGATACTAGTACAGTGGAAAGAAGAATGTATCTCTTTGTTGTATTCAAAAATGGCATTGAGCCACTGAAACTGGGTGTGGTGGTGCATGCCTATAATCCCAGCAGTGGAATGGCTGAGATAGGATGATCATTACCAGTCTAAGCTGCGTAGTGAGACCCTGTACCAAATACATGATTTAAAAAATTTTTTTAAAATGTCATTTTGGATAATTAACCAATAAAACAATTTTGGAAAAAATAATCCTAAAGAAGACTATTCACAAAGATTTACTTAAGAGTAGTACTTCACTCCCACATTACTGACAGAATACTAATGTTAGAAACTACTCAACAGTTGTCATAAATTTAAATGTAATGAAATAGATGATATGACATTTGTAGTGATTTACTTTAACTCTAATGAGACAAAAATGTAAGAGAAACTGTTTTTAATTGATGACAAAGCAATAAAACTGTCCCCACTGGTCACATCTCTCATATCATTTATACTGGAAAAAAATAAAATACCCTAATTAAACCAAATACTACACTTGCACTCCAGAGGCTGGCTATATTATACCATCAAAATTAAAATTATCTGAACTTTGAAAAATGTGAAAGTAGAAGCATAGCATCAACCATTCTCACAGTGAGCATGAGAGATTAGAAGAGCAATACAGTTCTGTTAAGTACATGAAACAATTTTTCCTAACTATAGATTAAAAATACCAATTGTTTCTAATTATAGAATATGCATTTTATATTATTACTCACATTCCAGATTTTCTTCAATAATTTCTTCAATTATCACATCAGGGCTCAACGCCATCTGAGGCAGCACAGCAATGGCTTTAGGGGACGTCACTTCCCCCTCTTTCTGTGGCTGGGTGTGTCTCCCTTCTGGTTGTATGTCAGTGGTCTCTGGCTGTAAAGGAGGTGCTGGTGCATCACCAGTCAGGATAGACAAGTCGACCTGTTTCTCTTCTAGTGATGAGTATGTATCAAAAGAAAGTTCTTTTTCACTATTATTCTTCTGAACATTATATCCAACTTCATTTTCTTGGGAATAACATCTGTTTATAAATATAGAGTATGGTTATTTTAATATATTCACCTTCAAGTCATTTCCACTTCAGTGACAGCTGATACTGTGACCCATACAAAAGGTAAAAGCTATCTGGATGCCCCAGAAATATTTTAAATTTTCGATTGCTGTTATTGAATTTATTACAGTAAGTTGACTACAAAGGGCTGTACTCTATTACTTGGTAATATACTCTATTACTAGGCATGAAGTTAAAATTGCTATTCATCTGCATTTTTTTATGTATTTAGTAAAGGGTCTATAGGGTCTCACTACACAGGTCTGACTTGTAGTGATCCTCCTGTTTTCAGCCACCCAAGCGCTGGGATTATAGGTGCTTGCCATCACCTCCAGTCTCATTTGCTATCTCAGTGTGGCCTGGGGCTAAGGCAGGCACGGCAGGCTGGGGATTGAACCCTTTACCCCTGTGCTCTGCCTAAGCAGGTGCTTTAATTTGCTGAGCTATCTGGCTGGCCCTAATGAGTATGGTTATTAAACAGCCACTAACCCATAGCTAACTACCCAACTCTATTTATTTCCATCTTCTTCATATATCCAGTTTTATGCTACTTAATCTATAATTTTAAAAGGAAATAAATTGAGTCTGATAAAGCTTGTATTTTAGCTAATCCACAGTGGATCAAGCATCTTCAAAGAATACTGTTTAAAGCACTTTAGAAATAAAGAACTACAATGCCACCTAAATTTATCAATGACATGCCTTTTCCAACTTGGGGCATATATCTAATATAAAAATATATGCATCTTGAAAAAAGACAAAAACACCTTTTGAAAGACATGCATATGTAAACAACACTGCACTCTTCATCCAGCGCCCTTAATACCAGCATCACGCATTCTAGATTCAGCCACCTTGGTAAAGCCTATCCTCCAGGACCACATGAGCTTTGGGAAGACATCCAGATGCAAAGCATTAACATTCTGTCTAGTCCATCTCACTTTTGTTTTTTGCAGGAGTTACTCTTTTCACTGCCTTAAATATCACTATTTTTCTGTGACTTATTTCAATATTTGCTCTTACTAAACAAACCCATGGTTTACCACCTGCAAACAGAAGAGGTAGGCTACACTTTTTCTTTGAAAACTAGAAAACAATTTTAAGCCACTACCATTAGAGTTAAAATCAATACAAAATCAGCATTAAGACTCTTAGAATAACTTCTAGTTTTAAACTTATTTGGCAGTAACCATACTCAAGTTATGAAAATAAATAACGTATTTACCGTAAAAGTTGCTAATTATCTAAGGGAGCACAAAATTCCAATTGCAGAGGTGAGTGTGGGACAGGGTTCACCCAAGCATCACCCAGAGGAAGATGACTTGGGCTGAAGGACTGGTGTTCTGGTTCCTCTGGCAAGGTGTTCTCTCTGGTTCAAGGGAATACATGGTAATAGTCTAGTCTCAACCTAATGCTATGAAGCTATGATTAATCTTATTCCCTTTATTCCAGATAAGATTGCAAAAATGCAACTTCTTCTAATTTGGCTTCTCACTAGGGTTTTGTTGTTATGTTTCTGTTTGTTTCAGGTGTTAGTGGGACTTGAGCCCAGAGATTTCACACAAATTACATCCCCGCATCTTTTTTGTTCTTTCTGCTTTTATGGAGACGGAGTCTCATTAAGTAGTTTGGGTTATCCTTGAACTCACAGTAACCTTCCTGCCTCAGCCTCCCAAGTGCTGGGATGGCAGGCATGTGTCACCATGCCTGTCTTACAGCCCCAGACCTTTTGAGACATTGTCTCACAAAGTTGCTGGATTTCCCAGGCTGGACTCAAAACAGTGATCTTCCTGCTTCAGCCTCACAGATTTCTGGGGCTATAGGCCTTGCCGTGCTTATTTTTCAGCTTTTGAATCATACCATACTAAATGTTTTTCTTAGATAACAGTACTATCAGATAGTAATGGCATGTTGCCATTATTATACTTACTTTGTTGAATCTTCAAATTCAATCTTTCCCATACTGCTTAACATACAGATAATCTCACTGCAATTCATATTCAACCTAAAACATCAGCATATAAAACATTCTAACTTTATTATTACCATTTCTAAACAGAAATTAGTTGACTTTAAATAACTAAATAAAAACATTTAAATGACTTCCAAATATATCATGAATCACAATTATTTTAAGTTGCTTGCTTAGTTTAGAAACACTTTTGATCCAAAGTTTTGAATCGTAACTGCTTGCTCAGTTACTAAATTTAGGCTCTATATACATTTTTATACTCATTATGATCTGAACCATGGATTACTCACCTGGGAGGGTTCCTGGGTTTTAGAAAATTAACTTGTGACAATTCACTCTCAAATGTTAACTTCAGAGTCTGAATAATCTAGAATCAGAAGACAAGTTAATTTTTCTTTTGTCATAAATATTGCCAAAAGGATAATTTTAGAAAACTATTTTTATATTTCTTTAATGCACTCCAAGACTCAGTTTTGGGTACTTGAAGGAATGGATGAAAAGTTTATAACTTTTTTCCTACAGGAGTTTAAACTTTTCTGAAGGAACATATTTACAGGAAACAACAACATACCAGCTAATAAATGGGATCCAGGTACATGATCAAAGAAAATTCTGATCAGACTCATTTTACAGCTAGGCTGCAATCCTCAAATAATTTCTCTTTTTTGTTTCATCTTCCTAATAATTAACCATGGGAAGATCAAATTTGATAATTTTTTGATTGCCTGGTAATACTGCCATGTGATATACATGAAATTATCATTACTGTGTTTAGAGCCAGTCCAAGTAAGATGGTGGCAAACGTTTTTGCTTTCATTTTAAAATTAGAGATTGTGGAAGCAGATCAACCACTGGCTTTTGCTCTACATTGTGATTCAATCCAAATATTTGATTATCTGCGGTAAATAGGACCCCCAAGGGACTCTGTATTAGCCCAATTCTATACTGTAGGCACAAGATTAGATGAAAGAAGATTGTTGAAGAAAAAAAAAAAAAAAGAAAAACAAGAAAGAAGATTGTTGAAGCAATTCTTTTGTTGACTCATGCATTCTGGGCGGGGTAAGGAAAAACATGAATGAGACATTGATTTTTTTTTTTTTTTCCAGTACTGGGGATTGAACTCAGGACCCAGTGCTTGCCAGGC